GTAAGACTGTTAATTTATAAAATTATTGCACATACGTTAAATACTTATGAGAATAAATATAATGACAGCTAAAATTAGGTTTTTACTTAAGACTTTTTCACAAATATATTTCAATTTTTCACAAAAATAGGCTTATGTGATAATGTTAAAAAATTTTTAATTTTAAAGGGTAATAATTCTAATTCAGCATATTAATATTAAAAAAAAATTTATTAGCTACCAGGTTTCGCTATCAATCGTTGTTTAAGAATTTGGGCAAAGCTGTATACTCTCGTAAAATTGGGGAAAAAAAAACGTGAGTGCTAGTATTACTGTTTGAGAACTATTTTCTTTTCATTTCTTATCCTATTTTCTATTTTATAACCGACATTAAACAGCTGACCCAATTCTGAGTTTACGCTCTATCTATCATTGTTCAACTTCTTGGCCTTGTAATATTGAACCCAAGACAGATGACAAGGGAACTCCTGGGTGAATCATTGGGACAAACTAGTCTTCGTGGAGGACTTTTTGATGGAACTAATACTCATTTGCATTACATGGAGAGGAATACCACGAAAACCTCTCGTGGTTAGCCCTACGGCAATGGGATTCAAACCTATAATCCGTCTACCACTGAGGATATTCTACGTCGGCTCTGTGGTCGGAGAGAGCCTGGAACAGAATTCCTATATACCAGCCGCCCCTGAGATTTGAACCTGGGTCACTTTATCGAGAAACGAACGCTCTATCCCCTGAGCCACCCCGATTCTCCTTGCTAATACGATCTCCTCTAAAAAAGAATTTCATGTCAACTCATAAAAGAATTGATTTTGGATTTTTTTTTTAAAAATAATTTTTTGAAGTATGTACCTTAATCAATTCAAAAATGCTAAATGCACAAAAATCTTAATTTTATATATATTTATTTAATTATTTTTTGTCGTTTATGTTGATTTTTCCGCTGAACGGCAGTATAAGTAAACGGCATGCTAAAAGTAATAATCCAAACTAAATATTTGGCTCCAAATTTAATTTATTATTGGTTCATAATGGGTTCAAAAATCAAATTTACGTCGTAAACATATTTACCAAAGTGATGTAAGAAACGAAAAATTATTGATTTATAATTGCATTCATATTTAATCGGTTTATAGACATTTTCTGTAACAAGAGCGCAATTACATTAAATATAAAGTTTAATTCCAGGGAAAGTTGTACTGTATAGTTATTAAAATTTTTTTTTTTGAATTGCTTATTTTATTTGAATTATCTGAACATCGAGATTCAGATTGTAATTCATAGTGAATTAGTCACTTTCACAAAATAAAGTTAAACCAAATTTATTTTTTCCTTCACTCTTAAGTTTCTGATTTCGGACTTAAATTCGAGGAAATTCAGCAGTTAAGTTTTCTAATTTTGATTTAAAATATCTAAATCAGAATTCAACCATCTCTTCAATAATTTCCGAGACTAATCTTAGTTGAGAGGTAAAAAAGCTACTTGTATTTCCGGACTCCCGTCATGAGTACCTAAGTTTCGTGATAGGGATGAACTTACGTGACGTAAAATGACATCACGCAAATAAGTACGAGCTTATGTCATGTGCACATTTGACTTACTTTAAATTGTTATGTGCATCGCCGTTTTGTTGTTAGACGACTGAGTTTGTGTCCTTTCCAAATAATCATGTTCCGGATCACCTTTCGCAAAATCCTCCATCTAAGTGAGTTATGACTAAATTGCTTATTTTATAAATATTTGTCAATTTTATCTATACGATGTATATAGCTTTTTAAAAACATTAAGATAGTGAAATTTGCAATATACACGTGCTTGAATTTTATACGCTTGAACTTTGCATGTGTTTTTTCAAGGTATTGCATTTATTTTAATTAATTTTCAATTTTATTCGCCTAAGTAATCGTCTGAATTTTTTATTTGTCTAAGTAATCGTCTGAATTTATTTCATATCCTGATATTCTTTCAAAAATTTTTTAATTGCAGCATTTAATCGGACGTTTGAATGACGAATTTGTCGAAAAGTGATTTTTCAAGAGACAACGAAATAAATAGACGTTTTCAGTTTTACTTCATAAGTTTCGAATTTTTGATTTTAATTGACTTAGTCCGATGCGTAGATTTTTGGTTTAGAATTATTGGCTTCAGAGCCAGATGTTACTATATCGCACCTATAACTATGTTTATATTATATATCTAGGTTTTTAGTGTTAGTGTTTTTGATATAAGTAAAAATCAAAATTCATCTAACTTTATTATTTGAATTATTTTCGAGTTGTGGTCAAGATATAAAATAAATTTAAATCTTCAGGTGTGTTGTATAGCGTATGACTCATTTAACTTATTTAGAATTCATTGTAGTTGTTGTATTTAAAATAACTTCCAAATAGCGAAGAGAATTTTCTATTTAACGAACTTCTCATTGAGATCCACTTTTCCTATTTTCCAAAATATTTCAGAACATTTCAAACTTGCAAACGCATTTTATGGGGGAAGTGACCTTGAATTAATTTTCGAAGCCACTGTTTAATGTAACGTTTTACTGCCTGCTCTAAAAGTTATTTTAGAGGAAGCAGTAAAATCCCTTTCCCTTTTTGTTTGCATTTCAAACGAAAAACTCGGTCCAAATTAACGGATTTTTTCAGTAGCAATTAAACTTAAGAATGCATGTGATAATGTATGTTTAAAATTACTTTTGTAATAAATGCAGCTATAATTTTATACATAAATTTAGCTTTTTTTAGTAGAAAATGTATGTAGCATAATAGTGCAACTCTGGATAATGTTTTGCTCTATTCTTGCTTTCCATGAAAATTTCTTTCATGATTAAGATTTATTAAATAAATAGTAGATACTAGCTTACAAGATAAAGGTGCATCAATTGCTACTTTAATTATGCCTAATGTTTATGAATTTAAAGCCTGTTTTGTGTTGTTCAAGTATTTGAAAAGGTGATTTTTCTATTGAACGAGTTTTCCATATAACGAACCTATTATCGGGATTTAGTGACTTCGTTAAATAGAGGTCCGACTGTGTGTGTATGTATATATACTCATTTGGATTTTCTTACTTTGTGTAAACTGGAAAAAAAGTAAACAGGAGTGTATACTTTTTATGACTATTACCGACAAATGCTTAATATTTGTGAAGGAAATATACATTTATGTTTTTCTTTCTCACTGCTTTCAAATTTATTTTTACCTTTGTTGATTTCTGTAGTACTTAGCTTTTATTGTTTAGGTGTGATTAAAAAAAAAGTAAATTTGTAGGCAGTGTGTAATCTTGTGTATTTACAGCATTTTTTTTTTTTTTGCTTCTATATCGAATAATTTACTCCTTCTCAGCAAAGGATTTATCTTTTTGAGTTATGCTGGTGCAATAAATTATAAAATACTCCTGAAATCTTAAAAAAAAATTTTTTTTTCGATATTAACTTTCAAACATGCATCCCTGAAAAGCCAATTTTTTTCTTAAGTTAAAATTAATGTTTGCTTTCAACTTAATTTTAGTTTCAAAATAGTAGCCCGAAAGTTTTTAAATAAGTCTCGAAATTTGTCTAATTAATTTTGAGTAATTAGTACTTACATTCTAAGCCTGGCTGAACAATTTTTGAAAAAAGAGTATTTTTTTTTAAATTTTAAATAGTGGTCTGTAAGTTAGAGGATTTATAAATATATCTTAATGGAAAATTTAATTAAAACTGTTTGTAGACTATTTTTGTTGATTAATTTCAATATAGAACGTTGAGAATGATTTATTTTGAGTAATCGTCTTCCCCCTATTCATTTAAAACAGTGGTTACCAACTGGCGGCCCGCATCCGGCCCGCGAACTAAAATATATTAGTTTTCATTTTTTTGCGGACAATTTTCGAAAAAAAAAATATATTAGTTTAAAATACTTTTCATGCGTTAAAATAGAAACTAATTTCTTCGTTTCTGTGAAATTTAACATACTAACGGTGCAAAAAAATTTATTTCTCTGGTTCTGCATCCAAGAAAATATTTATTCAATAAAATATTTATTATTATTTCTAATTCAATACTTTTGTTTTGAACAACTTGATAAAAATCTGACAGTAATATTTAATGTTCCTTCAAGCATGAAGAGTCCTATATCAGGGATCTGTTTAGAAGAAATTTAACGGACCCTTCACAAAATATCTTTTCATAAAAACGGACCCTTCACAAAATGATTTTTCTTTTAATCGGACCCTTCACAAATTTGTTTATCTTCATTATTGTTTTGTTAATCGAATAAACCCTTCCCAGGAATGGGGGTGGGGGGAGAAAGACATGTAAACGAACTAAATTTTGTCTTCGGCAGACGCTTCTTCCTTTATTCGTCCGAAATGAATATTCTGTGTTCAGCAGTATAGGCTAAATACCAAATATTTATATGTTGCATCACTAATTTAGTAGCTGCAATTGCTGTTGATTTTTTAAAATTAAATTTTTTTACAGTGTTGAGCATAATCTTGTATGTCTTTACAATTTAAAAACTCATTGAAAAAGTTTTTTTTTGCAATAACGGACTCTATTTGCACAAATTCACGAAAGCGGACCCTGGTTGAAAGAATGTGACCTAACGTTTATTTTATATTCACAAATTACGAGTAATTTTTTCACAATTTTACAAAAACGGACCCTATTTGCACAAATTGACGAAAGCGGACCCTGGTTGAAAGAATGTGACCTAACGTTTATTTTTTATATTCACAAATTACGAGTAATTTTTTCACAATTTTACAAAAACGGACCCTTCACAAAATGTCTGAACAGACCCCTGTATATAAAATTTTGATAAAGTTGCTGCCCGCCATTTGACTGGTGTTTTTAATTGTGGCCCCCGGCCTCATATAAGTTGGAAACCCCTGATTTAAAATATATAATTATTTTTTATTTTATTTATTTATTTATTTATTTTTTTAAATAACTGTGTTTTGGAAATGTAAAAATATTTTATGCTGCAATATTTCAATGTTTCTTCTTATTTTTGCAGGTAAAAAAACTAATGGTGCCATGAAAACAAGTTCCGCGGGGTCGACCCGATCCCCAACCCCATCCCCAGTGGACGGCAAACACAGTAGGTTTGCAATGCTGGGAAGGCTCTTCAAACCTTGGAAATGGAAACGGAAGAAAAAAAGTGATCGATTCGAACAGACTTCCAGAAGTAATAATTACTATTATTATTACTAGTATAATTGCGGAAGTGTCTCATGATTATTATTTTTATTGATTTATTTTAGTTCTTATACTGGTAGACAATAAAAACTCAATGTTATAAATGCTTTCGTGTGATATTAGTTTAAATTAGTTTTCTGGTGCTCGCAGTAAACTTACTTCTGAAGTAGTCTAAAAAAAATTTTAATAAAAAAACGTTAAAGTTTTAAAAAACGGGTATCGTAAATGTTCGCTTTCAGGTTTTATAGGCTTTAGCTTCCATCGAGCGCGTATTCTTTGATTGTGCCGCAGAGATAAAAGCCTCCTTTTTTAATGATAGAGTAAAATATTTCATTTGGCTTTGAAGATGAATAATAAGTTTTCTTTAGTTCTTGGAGACGCTTCTCATGCGTCTGAACTTAGTCTCACTTTTTTTTAAAAATAAAATCAAATTAATGCAATGCAAACTTTAGAAAAATATTTTTGTGAATAAAAATATTTTAAAATATAAGTACACCTGATGGATCGCGCGCCATTGGAGGATACTTAATATATGTAAGGCCAGGTTGCTAAGATTCGAAGGAATTTGTAGCCGAACAGTTCGTTTCAGAAACTGTTAGATTAAATCAAGGTGTTCATTGTTTAGTTGTGTGCAATAATGTCATTCCTGAAAAGTCATAATTGCCCTGCTTTTTTTTTAAGAACTTATTTCTGGGAAAAAAAAGTGAACTCACTTGATCTTTTCTTACTAGTGGGGTTAGACCGGGTGCTATTTGTAAACTTTATAGGAAATTTTTAAATACTAAAATTTCAGTGAAAGAATAACTGACTTTTTTATTTTATTTTGCGAGACAATTTAAGAATATTATGTACAAAATTTACATCTAAAATGTTTCTCTACTCCACTTCATCTTTCGTGAGCTTAGCAGAAACTTTCTACATTGGATTCACCTTTCCTTTACTTTTTTTTTTATTTCTTCTTTTTAGTTAGTTCGAAAATACATAACAATGTAAACATCTGATGCTTTTATAGTTTTCAAGAAATATTAAGCAAGGTTTTCGATTTTTTTGTTGTTGATAAAACTTATGTTATATTCATTCTTCATCCTTTTTTTTTTTTTTTAAAGTCAAGTTTGCTTTGAGCTTTTCCTCTTTTTAGTCCCTGTAAAATATCCTTTTCTTGATATATATTTTTGTTTTATGTATATATATATTGTTTTTTATAATTGATATCCATTTTTTTATTTGATGTATATATTTTTGATAAATATTTTTATCTTCAAAATCTGTTTTATGAATATATGGTGAGGGTAGTAACCGGTCTCGAGAGCAGATATATTATCGAAACGAAACAGAAGCTTGCCTCTACGGACTAAATCTCCATTGTTTGTTAAGGTATGAATCCTTGGTAAACGTATAATAACAGGATGGCCACCCACCTTGAAAACCTGGAATTATCAGAGGATTTTTTTTATACTGGAAAAAACCTGGAGAAATCAGGGATTTTTTAAGAAAAGCTGGAATTTTTTCATAATTTTACTAATTTTCTTAATTAAAATTATATTACCATCTGTTATACCTACTTTTAGACCGAAATTTATTGCCAAACAGTTGAAATACCATCAACTTGGCAATACTTCGCTTGCATCAAGATTTAGTCCATTATAACCCTGTTTAACTAAAATGTCACATGAAACTCCCATGGTTTCTTAAGGAATAGAGAATGAATCCATGGTCCCATCCCCTGAGTCAAATGATAAAATAACATTAAAAAAACAATATTTTAAGTAAAATACTTTATATTGACGCTTTTCTTGTACCCATCCTACACTTTATGAAGAAAAAAAAAAGCATTTTTGATCTGGAAAAATCAGGGAAATTTGAAACCTGATTTGAGTAGCCACCCTGAATAAGTTGGGTTAAATTATTATTTTTTTTTATAGAAGAACATTAGAGAGTTGACACAGGCAAACTTATCTACATAAACGCAATGAATTCAAGAAGAACAACACGCCAATATGGCAGCTCGTTTTCACTTAGTAAAATATACTCTGCTTATATGTGCTGAAAACAGAACTGATTTCATCAGAATCAACATCCGGGCTTCACTCTACTGTTCCCTATTATGTTTGTTTTCTCTAATTGTGTTATTGTGATTGAATCTGCATTTCTTTGTAGAATTAAGTGCGTGTTCGATTTTATAGCTCTGGAAAGGAAGATATCTATGCGTTCCACCAAAGAAGAGCTTATTAAAAAAGGCGTTCTGTTACCTGACGGTACGGATAAAGACCAAGATAGTAAACCAAATGGTAAGTATTGTGCTGACTTTCCTGAAATCTTATCACATTTCTGGTTTATTTTTGTATCCAGTCTTATTTTGGGGAGAAGCCATTATATTTTAGTAGGTTTAACTACCTATTTTCTAATAATTTTATTTTTTCAAACAAGCTTGAAGTTTTTTCTACTTTTTTTTATGATTGACTTTTATATCGAAACTGAAATGAAAAAATTAGAGGGAGAAAAAGAGAGTGGAGGGAACAGGTTTTAACTAAATTGTGTGATGTCACAGCTCATACCCCAACTGTCACTACTTTTCTCCTTCCCCTCCAAGTGTGACATCACTTTATGAACGATTCTACGGCCGTTTTTGGATGATGCTATAAGTTTTTATTTAACGTTAATTACGCAAAAACAAAAATATTTGTCAAAAAATTAAAAGCCGGCCAATGTTTACTATTAAATTACCTTTAATACTATGCTTATTGCAGAATTGCGTAGGTATAATTTTAACAGAAAAAATTTAATAGAGAAACTAAAATATCCTACACTTTTGATCTCAAAATGTTCGATAGGTTATACAAGGAAATACAAGGAAGTCGGCCTTGTATTTTACATGTTTCGAATAAACTGCCCAAATAGAGTAAGTATTCACAATCAGTTTACTTGTGAACATTCTTTTTAAACAGGGTGCGTAGCGTTTGTAAAAAGTACTTTAAGGTGCTTTTTTGGGGATTTCGTTTTTAAAAGCTTTTAAAGGTGCTTTTTTCAGTTGGCGTTTTTAAAAAGTGCTTTTTTTCCAAATAATTTTTTCCCCCTTCAGTGATATCTGGTGGATCGCATGCATTTCACGAAAAATGGGGAGTTTGCTACGTAATCATTCACGCGGACTTCATGTCGTACCCACGTTATGACTTGCGCATGCGCGCACACTTGAAACCGAAACCCGAGTGCTCCAATTCGGATAGAGAATATCAGATCCTTATGAAATGTTTTTCTTTTTAATTTATTTTAATTTTGTTCTTGTTTATTTTATTTTACTTCTAACACTTTTTTTGACGTAGGGGGTAAGGGTACTTTTGTTCTGAGTTCAGGGTCAAGTTGAATTCACTCAGTGATGTGGGAAAGTACTGATTGTTTCAATTTACGCCCGTTTCTTTTTGGGTTTTTTTTAACGCTAAAACTGTTTATAAAAAGTTTTTGTTTTTCAATAATATCATTGATTGAATATGAATTTTTTGAGCGCTTGGAAATTTTTGTAAAGTGCTTGAAAAGTTTTTAAAAAGTGCTTATTTTTGATTCAAAGATTTGGCTACGCACCCTGTTAAAGGATAGTTATAATTTTAATTTCCGGCCACCACCCCATCAATAGTCAAGTTCGGTTGATAGGAAAAAGCCCTTTTCTCTCACCATTTTCATCCTCTTAGAAAATATTAATTTCTATTTTCCAGAAAGTCGTTGAATGTTTTAAAATCGGAATTTTTTTTTGTTAAACCGACTACAGTTACATTACATCTACAGTTACATCACTGTTTGAATTTAAATATTTATTCTTTCCTTGATTTAATTGTTTGCTGAAATGAATTTAACTCTAACTTATAAATATCGAATTTTTGAGGAAAAGTGAAATCGCATTTTTTATTTTTGCACTTGAATGACGCGTTTTCATGGTTTTATAAAATGGATGAACCTGTTGAATTATGTTCTGATACTCATCCTCGTGAGAGATTCGAAGAAAATGCGGCGTGAGTGACGCCAAGACTAAATTTGAGGCCAAATTCATTTTCCACTGTTCTTCAGGGTTATTTTAAGATATTCGCATCTTCCCTTCACTCTTTCTTTGGACTCTTTTCCGATTGAATTCCGGAAGTGCAGGCTTTGCTCGGATTTCCAAGTTTTTTCCCAATTTTCGCAATTATGGACGAAATATGTCTTTGTTACGTTTGATGCCTGTTAATGGGTTGATGAACCCTGTTCTCTCCCATTTGAGATCATCGTGATTTTTTTTCTTCTTTTGACGTATTTTAGCTGAAACCGAAAGAAATAAACTCCGATTGCGCAATTATGTGTTAAGCGAAAGTCGTCTGACGTTCAACGATGCTTTTAGTTCGCTAAAATTTATCCTTGGATGTATGTTATTTTCATGTTTTTTTTTTAAATTTCAAAGCATCAATTTAATTTTTTGTGTTATGTTCGAACGTGCTATACAGCGTTTTCTCTGAGAAGATAAATTAAATCGGCTTTTACATCTAATACTGCCGCGTCATTTTAAATGCTTTATGCAGAACTTTAACTGACATTACGTGTTTAATGTAATTAATATTTTTTTTCCAACTTACAACCTGAAGAGATTAATGCATTACGCATCGAATGTTATCGCGATGCGGCGTTTTATTTGAGAAAATGGATGAAATCGACATCGCGTATCTTGGTAATATGAATGAATGAATGACTCATCAGTTACGTTCTTGATGTGCGCGTATTTCGATAATTCATCGACGATTTCTACAATTAAAGCTGTTAATTTAATTTTCCTTTTCAAACGAAATTTCAATGATTATATAATATAAACAAACCTCTTATTCAAAGTTTGTGACGTAGTTAGTTGATTATATTTAGTTTTAATTTATATCGAGAGTAATTTTTTTCTTTCGCGTACGCAGCCGACATGTTAAAACATTCGCTATTAAAAAAATGCCGGGCGTAAAAAATTATGCATTAAGATTAATAAAAGTAATTTAAGATTTAAGTTATAAATCTCTTAAACTCCCAAGCTAGAATGTTATTTGTGGAGTCTTTATACAATTGTTTTTTTTTTAGAAAATGTTGCCAATTAAAAATTTCAAGTTTGACTTATGTTTTAAAAAGAATTTTTGTTTTTAATTTTAGATTCCGTTCACCCCAATCACATTCCACAGATTAATGGATTCGTCTCGGAGAGTGGTATGTCGGATGGCAATAAGGGGCGATGTTCGCCGATGGTAACGACGTCAACATTGTCTTTTGATACCTACACAAACACTGTTGTTGTGTCTAGTTCTTGTGTACCTGGGTCTCTCACTTCTCAGAATAATGGTTTGTATTTTTACATCACTACTTTCACACATTGTACAAGTTTATCCTTCACCCCATATTTTAAAAGATTATCATTGATTGACTAAATTGCTTAGGTTCACCCAAGGCATTTTGCCCTTAACTGCATTGTAATAATCGTGGAAACTGAATGAGAAACAGAATATCCATGGCTTTTTATATAAAATATATCAAAATTCAATTCTTGACAACCCTAGAAGTGCATTGGAAATCAGGTATTACATAGCTGCCAACCTTACTGGATTTTGCCAGATTCTCCTGGTCTACTGGTTTAATAAAAATTCTCCTGGTTTTTGTGAATTTTAGAAAATTCTGTAAAATTAAAAAAGTTTTCTTAAAAAATTCCTATTGAAATAGAATTTTTGTGCAGATTATTGCTTGAATATTTAAATAAGTGTTTGCATAATAATGCATAAAGAAGCGAGCCTCATTTATAAAAGTCAGTTAACAATCTTTAATGAATTAAATCCTTATTACTGTTCAAAATTAAGACTAAACATAATACATAACATTTCAAGTTCATTTAGTGTTATTTATAACTGGAAAATATTGCAGTTTTTTCACTTTATTTTGATGACTAAAAATCTCTGAAATTCCCTATGTGTAAAATATTTAAAACATTTTGTAACAAGTGTCAAGAAATTTATACTTTTTCGTAAAATCTACTGGATTTTTCCGTATCCATGTTGGCAGCTATGGTACATTATTTGTTATCAACAAATCTGTATAATCTTCATCCATATTACATTGATTTATTGATAAGGTTTTGTTTCATTAGTTATGATTAAGCAAATTCTTGAACTTGTCAAGCCTAAGAATTTTTAAATTTTCCATCAGTAGATTAAAAATTTTGTACACACTTTCTTTTTTTTCTGGTTAGGCTGTTTAAAAATCATCTAAGTAATTTTTCTGAAATGAAACCTTCAATGAGCTATTGTATATACTTTACTAATGCTCTTAATTCAGTTAACTTTTTGTTGAAATATCTATAAAAATTTTTAAATTTCTTTAAAATAGAACTTGATAATAAGAATATTGTCAGTAGTGAAATTGATAATAAGAATATTGTCATTGCAGGTTAAGAATATTGTCTGTAACAACTTAGTTGCTATTCTTGATGAGTTCTCATATTTTTAATCAATAAGGGTCACTTTTCTATTTGCAGTAAGGATAAGCCTGTTTTAATTCTCATATTTGTGCCCCCAAGAAAGTGATTTTTTTTTTTCATTAAAGATTTTTCCAGTAAGTTTCCAGTGCTTAAAAGTTATTAACATTAGTTTTTTTTATTGAATTGCCAGTTTGGCATAGAGTAGTTGTTTCTGTGCCTTGTTAAACCCTATTAGTACTTTTTATTATATAAAAAGTTGTCATGCATAATACTTTCAATAAAATCCATATTCCAGTGAATTTGTAGTGGGAGTTAAAATTTTATAACCAGTGTGCAAAAAAAAGTGAATAAATTCAAGTAAACATAAAGGTATCAAAAGACCAAGTAAGCGTTAAATGTAATCATTTCAGACTTTTCTTGAAGTTGTAATTTGACTCTTATAGGATAAGTTTGAGATTCTCCATTAGTGAAAAAGAGGAATGACTGTGTTTTGATGGATTTTTTCCAATATTGTGCTATGTATTTATAGTTTTTATTTTTAACTGTAAGTGTTAAATTTCTAATAGAGTTTTGGTTTGAAAATAAGGCCCCCAATCCTGAACATCTTAGTCTTGAACATCTCTCAAAATTAGTATTTTTACAATGCTACTTTAAGTAGCTTTTTATGATTTATTTATTATTTTGAGTTATTAAAAATATTTTGTTTGGATAATTACTTTATTATTTTTTGTCTGGAATTTATTATAATTTTATGATTTTTGTTTTAAACCTTGAGATGTAAAAGCGATGTGAAAAGACTTCTGATGTGGTATTCCTTTTTGTAGCCATACCTGTGATACATAATGTTTCCCTGTTGAACCTTCCAGATGTAGAAGAGGTGCCTTCCCATGATGGGGAAATAATTCTATCTTCTCTTCCAGAACCACCAATATCTGTCAATGATATTGGCCCTATCCCACCACCTCCAATGTTCTCAAATCCATCACCTCTTTTACTCTCTAAGTTTCACTCACACTCAGGTTAGTATCATTGAATCAATCAATTTTATTTTTTAATTTTGTCACTCTGTGAAACAATTAGACACAAAATAGTGTTTAATTTAGGTATTCATGAACAATTAAAGCAGGAAAAAGTAATAAAAAGCAATAAAATAAAATATATGTGTGTTGGCAAGACAGCACTTCTTCTTGGGACACATTACCTACCAACACACTGGAAGCCTTTCTGTTGTCAGTGGAAAAACCAAAACTGACAGTGCCCCGAGGTCCCATAAAAGTAAAATAAAGCAAATTTGATTTTAGGTGCTTTTCCATTTTGATTTAATGTTTTAATTATTAATTTACCTTTTTGTCTTTTTCTGTATTTGTAAATTAGATTCATTTTCTGATTACACAAAATAGTGTTTAAGATTAACTTTCATTGATAGTTTCTTGTTTCTTTTGTCATTTCAGTTTTTGAATAGAGTAATGTTACGAGAATTAAATTTGAATTGTAGAACACTCAATATTCGAACTTCTCTTCTTGAAATGCAGAGTTCATAGTTGTCCTGATTTTCCGGATGAAAAATATTTTGTCACAATTTTTAGCTTTTTATCCTGACATTTTTGATTTTTGAGCCTCTTCAGAACTGAATATTATATTTTCTAACAATACAGTTATGGATTTTTTAAAAAAAAAATCAAAAGATATGAATTTTTGATCCAACTTTTTATTTAAAGTAGAAATATTGGAAACTGCCAAATTCAATAGTTTAAATTTAGGGATTATCCACTAATTATATGCGTTTAGACTTTGTGTTACCAACAGTTTTCATTAAATCCTTTTTGCGAATTCAGCCATTCTAATGAAAAAGAAAATCAATTAACAATTTTTCATTATCAAATTTTTATGATGAATTCAGGAGTCTTAAGGTAAATATTTTTTAAGCAAATGCAGTGACAAATTTTGTAGGTTTAAAATCCTGTGTAGTTAGTCAATTCCTGATTTGACTCTTTCATTCGAATTAAAAAATGATAGATTACAATCCATCTAATACTGTATTCATTTCGTAGAATTTTTAAATGATGAATTGAAGTATCCATAAAAATTACTTTTGAGCAGGAATGCTAAGTGTGATATTTACTGCTTTTAGATTTTATGGAAACCCTATTTTGAAATTTGATTAAGAAAATCTTGAACTATTTGATTATCATAATCTTGAACTAAATTACAAATTTTAATTGTGTATCGATGTGAGGGAATAGTAACTGATATTGGTTATTTTTTTTAATGCTACAGTGCTATAAAAATTTTCCATTCATAGATTCGAAACTATTATGAGTTGTTCAGTGTTAATAAAATTGTACTAAAAACTGTTAAAATTTTCTGTTCTAAACAAAGTAATTCTGAGATTAAAGAAAAGTGTATTTTATGTTCTTTTTTTGGTGATAAAATTTGATTTTATTACACATAGAGCAAATGATACTTTTTTTAAAATACATAATTTTTCTTCTTAATAACTAGTCTTTAATGTTTCAAAATGAAAAAAATGTCATTTTTTTTAATGTGCTATTATTCCCACTATGAATTCTATAAAATATATAAATTATAAAGTTTTTTTTTTTTTTTTTTTTTTTTTTTTTTTTTTTTTTNTTTTTTTTTTTTTTTTTTTTTTTTGTGTGAAGTGCACAGTTTTTATATTTTCTCAATTTCAATTCACTAGCTATACCTGATATGAGACCTTCAAAATTAAACTTTCTTTGTTATGCGCGGAATTGTTCACACATAAAATTTTAATTTCGGAAAGTATAATTATTTTTTGAAAAAGCTAGTTTTTCAGAGCATATTGATAAAATTAGATAAGTGATCCAAAATCCAAATAATTTTATGCAACATAGTATCAATCCTAATTATATCAGATTATTGCAATTATAACACTTTTATTTTTCATTATAAATATTTTATGGTATTATCTTTATTATAGCTTACTTTTGGCCGAAACTAACTTTTTTTCTTTAACTTTTTAACCTTTTTCCTCCCAAAAAACAGCTTTTTATTTCCATTCTTATTTCTTCAAACGTTTTGCAAATATTGGTGTCAGCAATATCTTTGGAGTCGACATCTTTCTATTTATCTTTCTATCTAGACATCTTTAAATTTATTTTTTATATCTCTATAATTTTTCCTATTTGATTTTTTTTGTCAGATTTATTTTAACTGATTTTGTGAACCGCATATACAATATTGTTTATGCTCATTAGGTAGAACTGCATCCAATTCTTGAGTCATTAAACTCTACCTTCAGTGCGATTTAATTTTTTTACAGCATAGCTGTCAATCAAGTTTTTAAAACTTCATTGTATTAAAAAAATTATGGTATATAAATAAAATATTTTAATCAAGAAACAAGTAGTGTCCTGCAAATTGAGCGGAAATGTTTTTAAAATAATGTCTAATGAAGTACAAAAACAACAAAAGGAAACTAAGTTTGAAAAAATACATATGCTGTATATTTTCTTCCATGTTTTAATTAATACAATGTTTCAATTAAGATTTACAGATTATACAATAAAGACTTTATTCTATAATAAACATTTTTCATTACAGTAAGTTACTTATTCATAATCAAAATGACAGTGATTATGTGTTAGAAATTTAGTTCATTCTATTTGTTAACAGTGTTTCATTAAATATATAATCTATTGTGTAAAAAGTTTCACTGGTAAAAATTTACTTTGCATCTATCAGCTGTTGTCTTAAAGTATCTAAAAGTAATCTAAAGTATCTATAAATCTGATCAGTAAATTTTTGTATAAAATAAGTGATTCATTTCATTTTTGTGTTTGATAATTGCATAAACTAGTATACTCATTATTCATACTAGAATTTTAAAGTATTAATCTTTTATTTTCCACTGACACCACCTATACAGTGACATAGAAATTCTCCACTCTAAACCTTTAATAGTTTTATATCTTAATAATTAATAACCACATTATTTTATTAGTTTTAGATATTAATTTAAAATATTGTGCTTTGTAGTTTAAATGATTTTAATGTTCTTATCAGTTCAAACTACATATTAAGTGCTCGTAGTGTGAAAGGTTGAACTAGGGGTGCACAACCTGTGGCCTGCGGACCACATGAGTGACCTGCAGGAACTTCTGAATGTAATAAAAAAAAAATTCTTTTAATTTGGTTTTTGTTGAAACATTATAAATTTTCTTTAATTAAAATATTTTATTCAAATTAATGTTACTCTATAAAATGCATATATTTTTTTGCAATTTCATTTTGTTAGCTTCCTTTCAATTAGAATTTATATCCTCTTCTCTGTATTTCTGTATATATGTATATATTTGATAAATTATTGTGAAAAATGGGAAAAGTTTTTTTCAAAAAAGTATCTGTTTTTTTAGATTTAAATAAATTTAAATAATTGAAAGTATTTAATTTTCTGCAAATATGTTATTCAGTTTATTGATTAAAATATTTAGTGCTTAGAACACTAATGTTTTTATAAAAATAATATTTGCCTCTAACATGACTAAATATGCGTACAGCCCTTCGTTAATCTACCTGCCGTGCAAGTGGCCCTTCCCTGAAAAAGGTTCACCCCTAGGTTAAACCTTGTCTACTCACTAACAAACCTTCAACATTGGACAGACTATATAATATGCGGTCTTGTAAAAGAAAGAGGAAAAAAATATTACAGTAATGTTTAGATTTTGGTATTTTTTATTATGGAATAAAAATTGCAGTGTGTGAATTCTTTGTTCCAGTTGAATCTTCTGATGATGCAGAGGAAAGGAATGCACCTGAGGTGAAAATGCCTGTCCCATGTGTAGTGTATGTTACTCAAAGAGAACCTACTGTTGACTTCTCTTCTGTTGAAGAGATCCCTGCCAAAGAACCTCACCCTATGTCAGCTATGCCCAAGAAAAGTGCACTCAAGAAAAAAGGCCCCTTTACCTGCGCAGATTTCCAAAGGCTACAAATTGTTCAAGCTAGGTAAATCTATTTTAGTCATATTTCATTTGGGAGCAAGCAGGTTAAGGCTCCACAATTAAAAATTTAAATTTAAGAATTAGGAAAATTAAAGAATTTAAAGTGTTTTAGTGGCAATTGTGCACCATCCTCCTTCCCAGACAAGCTGGTGTTAATTTATATACTTTGTAGCCTCTATTTCTGATCCAAAACCAGAAGACAAGGGAACTCTTAGATTAAATCAAACATTGAAACAAATTAGCCTTCACATAGAACTTTTGATGGAGCTACATTGCTTTACGAGGAGAGGAAAACCATATATTAAGTTAAGCTAGGTTGAAATTTTGCTTAAATTAACTTAGTGGCACGCTTTTTGTTTCTGGGCTGGAGACGTGCCCTAGGAGGTGCGGCATAACTAATTTTTCATATTTTCTCTACAATTTTTGGCGTATTTGATGTGTGGGGGGTGGAGTTACAGACCATGTCAACCTTCATCTATGAAAAGGTACCCCGACATAGAGTCGAGTTAACATGTCTTATATACTAGTGAAATGCAGTTGTAATTTTGTAGTGGTAGATACGCTACAGTACTCCCCCACCAGAATTATATCTGTGATAGAATTCGATGAATGAATACCACTAGTTGAATCATTGCTGTTTTCGTGCGGTTGAGCCGGGAGAGCTGTATTAAGATCACCGTACTTTTTGAGTGCTGAATGTGAGAGGTGTATTAACTTCACGGTCGTAGTCGCTCCTGTGTTGCCTTTAGCAGTCGAGTGTATGCAGGCCGACGTTGTGTGCTCGAGACTGAGTAGCAACAGTGCGAGGAGGTGGATAATGTTGCAGTCACAAGTAGCAAGTCAACTATTCAATGTGGACCATCCAACGAAGTAGGCGTTACTGCCGATGTAAGCGTATCCAGATCAAAGTGGGCGTTTTTTGCCAAGGTAGGCGTGTTCACATCACTTCCGAAGGTCACCAATGTGGGGGCGGAGTTATGCAGGTGCTTTTGTGCACCTGATTTGAATTACTCAGTGTCTTAAAGCTATCTAGTTAGAGTATTGTATCCACACTATAGCCTGTGTTTGTAATCTAAAACAAAAATATTGCCTTTGAACAACTAAATTGTTTGTGGTGCATAGCTGCATAGCTGAAGTTAACAAGTTTTATATAGGGCAATCTAAATGCAAATTAAATTAATCCTTATTAATTGAAATGTTGATTTAGTTCCCTTTCAGTAGGGTAGTTTAAATCTGTGGGAAAGTAATCAAGCTTGAAAAGACCGGTAACTTTTGAATGTGAGATACATTAAAGGTTTCATTTAGAGTTTTTGTAATACTATTCCAATGACTTTTTTTATAATATTACTATTAATTTTTCAAAATTTGTATGTAATCTGCCATTTACGAAATTAATTTTAAAAAATTTGCTTTTTAAACCTGAACACACTCAAGACAGACATAAACCACCAGCACTTTCTTTTATTCTGTATATATATAAAAAAAAAAAAAAAAAATTACAATTTTCTTACATTGTTTCTTAGACTTTGAGTGTGGTCTTTAGAAAATCTTAATTTTAATACTTTTGAGAGTCTAAAATTTATATAAAGCAATTAATTTTTGTTGTTGAATTTATGACTTTTAAATATGATAATAAGCTGTTAACTAAATGTGTATTATCCACACGAACACTGTTCACAGATAATTTTTCACTGTCGTGCTAAAGCTTTTAGTCTTTTTTTTTTTTTTTTTAAAAAAGTTTGTCTTTTTCGAATTCCCGAGAAAAAAAATTCATATTCATGAAATTATTTTATGCAAATAAAGTTTAAAAATACATTCATATGATTTAAAATCACACAGCGTAATTCATATCTACGCGATTTAAGATCGTACATCCTGCTTCATATTTTCACATTTTTATACCAAGCATCGCATTTTGTATTCAGAACGTTTTAAAATCAAACAGATGTATATTCATGCGATTTTAAAATTAAATGGAGAGATCCATATTCGTGTGATTTAACGATTACACATTGAGATTCGTATTCACCTGATATAAATAAAATCACTTAGTGATATATTTCATTATGACATTCTGTGGATAAATGTTTTTTTACATGCACTTTTTTCTTCCTCAAATTTAAAGTATTTTTTTTCATTTATTTAAAATGTTTTTATAGCATTGGATTTCTATTTTAAACTTTTTTTTTGTGTTCTACCAAATTTATCCTTGTTATATGAATATGTTGTTGTTTATAAAAATTAAAACATTTAAAAAAAAGTGATTTTCATACAAATTTCACCAAAATGGGGTGGTGATGAAAGGGGTGAAACTAGTTTCAAGAGTTAATCACTTGTTTACAAAAAGTTTTTTACTTAAGATTTTCTGTTAGCGGAAAGATTTCCTTTTATCAAATTTTTTATAACATTGGACAAAGTTAACATTGTACAATGTTAACTTTGTCCTTAGTACAGTACTTTTAAGTTTAGTTTAATGGAATCATATGCATATAAAGTTATATAACAAATAAAAAATCAATGAGACTTAAATTGTTATTAACTTTATTATTAATAAGCCTTTTATGCCTCAATGGTCTAGTTGATTGTTTTATTTGATCACATTAATCCTTTTAATGCATATTGAAGCTAATTTACTGTGCATCCTGTGAGGTGTTAAATTTATTTCAGTTTGATTTTTTTTTTATCTTTGCACTACTTTTAACTTTTTAATTTTAGAGTGTTCATTAATGAAAATCACTTTAAGGGTTCTCATTTAAGTTTATTCTGTTTTTGGTGGACCACTTTAAAGCCATGTAAAATTATAATTTGTGATTGTCCTTTTGCAGTGAATTCCATTGATTGGATTTTTTAAGTTTTATTTCCCTGTGTTCATTTAAAATTTATTTTTAACTGTAAACTTTTGTAGGTCAAGTTTAAGAAGAGTATCATCTGTTGATCATGATGGCCGTCCACTACCTTCCATTTCAATTAGTGCTACAGATGATTCTGATTCCGATTCAGAGTCGGACAATCCAATATTATGGAAAGATTATTATGGGGATGATGAAGAATGTAAGATTTTTATAGTTTAGAATCTGATTAGATGTCTATTTGTTTCATACATATTGCAGTACAATTGATAATTTAGATTTTGGGATTTAAATTAGAAACCTATTTCATACTGTACAATGTTTGAAAAAAATTTACTATTGGTTTGCTGCTTTTGTTAAAATTAAATCTTATTGAAATGTTTTTTTTTTTTTAAATGATATAATGTCATCAACTTTAAAGGAAGTTTCACTTTCTGTGTGCAAAAAAGGAAAATCCTTAAGTTTTCCATAACCAAGCAACTAGTGCCTAAAAAAATATATTTTTTTTATTTAAAAGTACATTGTGTAAGTAAAGAATATAAATAAGAAATACCTGACTTTAAGGGAAATATCGCCTCATAAGGTAGTATTTGTCGATTCAGAAAAAAAAAAAATTTTTTTTCCAAAATTTTTTAATTTCTATCTTAATTATCCCTTTTTACTTGTTGCCCATTCTGATTGATATACTATAATTTATTATTTTCCTGATATTGGAAGAAATTCTCACTAAGCATGCTCACATCAAAACTTAGCATTTAATTTATGATCACTAATAACAGGTTTATTAAAATATTCTGTTTAAGGGGAATATAGAGTGAAAACTTGAATTTTCTATTTTAATTATAATAAAAGTGATTTTTTTTTAAATATTTTTTTTATAACTCCATGAGGACTAGAAGTGTTTTTTTTATCAGTGTTCTGATATTTTTGTAGTGCTTATGGAAATAGCCTGTACATTTTGTACAATTCATTTCTATTTGTATCAAATTCATTTTTTACAAGTTAGCAAAAGCTTGTTAAAAAAATCAATTTTTAAAATTATAAATTTAACCTCCAGATTTAAACTTGTTTGATATCAATTCCACGCAAGTATCAGTCAAAAAGAACTGATTATGAGGCAATGATTCCTTTGCACCTGCTGAATTCTGTACTATTTACTGAATTGTTTGTCTAAGCCTGGTTCCATTTTCTTTTTTTTTAATATTAGGGATATATCTATAGATTGGTACAGATTTGGTTCATAATGAGATTTTAACTCTACATGATTATATTTTTTCGACATACTAAATTTATTGTGATTCAATTTATTAAATTATAAAGCTTTATCACAACTATTTTTTTAAAAATATTTATTTTATTTTATTTATACTTTAATTCTCATACACTTTTTTGGTACATATTTTGACAATTTTTTTAAAAAATTGTTTTATACAGTTGATTAAAAAGAACCCCCTTTTTTAATTTAACCTCATTCACTTAACATATTTTTAATTTCAATTTGGAAGAATGGTTTGATTCTCGAAATAGTTTCTTATAATTTAAAGTAAATTTATTTAGCAGCTAATTAAAATGTTTTGTTTAACTTACATTTCAATAGTATGAATATATGGATTCATATTAATATATGTATTGGTCATAGTTATATCTCAAATTAATCCTTGGATTTATTTTATTTCTATTACTTATTGAAAGCTAAATATTTTTTTTAAAGCAAAATATTTGTAGTTTTTCATTTGATTTATATTAACTGCAGTTTTATTTTAAGAGCAAAGTTTTGCAATTTAACTTTAATGCTTTTTTAATTGCTGTTCATACCATAATCTGAACTCATTATTTTTAATTTTTTTTTTTACCTGAGTTTAGATTGATATTAAAATAAAACTATTATATTTGTTTATAAAGATTTATTTAGCTTAATTTTCACACCGTTGCTGTGAGTGGTTATGTTTTATGTGATAAATGTGTGGTTTTTACTGAATCTAAAAACCCAGTTAAGAGGTGTCTTCTTTGACTAAACGCATGTTCTTGCAACATAAAGATGTTGTAGTGATCTTTCTAGAATTTTATTGCTATTTTGCATTAATATATATATATATATATATAAACACAAATAATAAAATAATA